AGAACAGGAAATGTTGTCAGGGAAATAGATGTTGTGTGCAAAAGGAAAAGCCTCAAGGACAGATTGGGCTTTCCTATTGTATATTTTATTGCATCCTGTAACATACTTAAGTCTATGCATTATAAAGGCTATACATAATCAATCTTGGAGATTAATACGTTTGTATCATGCTGTGCCTATTCTGAAGGATGTTAAAAATTTCATGATACTGCTCAAGCTAAAGCATTTTAGTTCTCTGCAAATCTTGGCAAACATTCCTCCCCAAAATCAACATCACCAAAGACAGATAAACAATTCTGATAAAAGCCCATTAACTGTAAACTTTTAACTCGATTCTTTCTGCAAAGATATTGCCAGACCTGATTATTTCCAGCATTTTCCAGGAAGGTTTTGCAGTAAGTGTGTGTGATCAGAAAGAAGGTTTTTTTCAGAAAAGTAGAAATCTGGATAGGTAAGGTTTGGCAACTTTAATGTGCATCATCACAGAAATTCAACTGAGGCCAAGTATGGATCTGTGTAGTAGTGAAAATACATTGATCTTCGGTTGTTTGGATTATTTTCCAAATGCAGAAGATTGCGTGGAATAGGAAACTCAATAATTCTGAAAGCAACAACTTGTATATTATCTCCAAGATAACAAAACTCCTCAAGGTGTTTCATAGGAATATTAGAAAATAAACATTTGATATCAGATGAGATGGTATGAGGGCAGCTAATCAAAGAAGTAAGTTTTAAGGAGTATCTCAGATTCATAAATATTTACATCACAGGTCATCAATTGGCCCATTGTGTTCACACCAGGCAACAAAGGTCTGAATATACTACTTCCATTTTCCAGCTCTTTGTCCATAGCCCTGGAGGCTATGGCAATGCAAACAAATGTCTACATACTGCTTGAATGTTATGAGAGTTTCTGACTCAAACATTCATTTAGGTCGCAAGTTCCAGACCTCCAATAGACTTCAGTGAAAAACATTGTCCTTAACTTTTCTCTTAACCGTATACCTCTGGCCTCAAATCCACGTCCTGGTTATTGACACCTCTGGTAATAGAAAAAATGTCTCCCTATCCATCCTACCAATGCCCCTCAATCTTATACACCTCTACCAGGTGCCCTCTCAACCTTCACTGCTCCAAGGAAAATAATCCAAGTCTAGCCAATCTTATTCTATTGTATCCCATAAGCCTTCTTAATCACCTTATCTACCTGCCCTGCTACTTTCATGCATCTATGGATATCTACAGCAAGATTTCTCTGATGATCCACAACTCATTGTGTACTTTCTTGCTTTGTTATCCCTTGAAAAGGGATATCTCTCATTTCCAGGTTTAATTCCATTTGCCCACTGTTCTGCCCACTCAACAATCTGTTAATATTCTCCTGCAGCTATCCTCCTCACTTTGTATCACCCTATCAGTTTTTATTCTCATTAATAAGCCTCTTGATCATAAATCTAGGGGTGGTAGGTCCCAATAATTAATGTACATCCCAAATAGCAAGGCACCCAGCACCATGCCTTGCTTAACCTCACCGGAAACAGGCTTCCAGTAACAGAGACATTGGCTACTGTCACCCTCTGTTTCCTGCCAGTCAGCTAAAGGTGGATCCAACATGCTACTCTGCCTTTGATCCAATGGGCTTTTACTTTCTTGACTACACTTACCATGAAAAATCTTATCAAAGGCCTTGAAGTCCTTCTAGACCACACCAAATGCATGACACTTATTTGACATTCCTGCTTAACCTCCTCCAAAAGACTTGATCGGATTTGTCAAACATGACATGTTTAGCATAGTTTCCCAGTGTCTGCGTGGGTTTCCACCGGATGCTCCGGTTTCCTCCCACAGTCCAAAGGTGTGCAAGTCAGGTGGATTGGTTGAAATTGTCTGTAGTGTTCAGGGATATGTAGGCTAGGTGGATTAGCCACAATAAATGTGGGGCTGTGGAATATGGCTGGGGGCTGGGTGGGATGCCTTTCGGAGGGTCAGTGCAGACTTTATGAGCCAAATGGCCTCCTTCCGCACTGTAGAGATTCTATGGTTCTATTACCTTCCCTTAACAAATCAGTGTCTCTCCAACTGTGGATATATTTTGTTGCTCAGAATTCTGTCCTGAAACATGGAGTGGAGGTGCCAGTGTTGGACTGGAGTGGACAAGGTCAGAAATCACACAATACCTGGTTATGGTTCAACAGGTTTATTTGAAATCACAAGCTTTTGGAGTCTTACTTCTTCAGGTGTTAGTGAGAGAGGTAGTATCAGACTCGGAATTTATAAGTAAAGATCAAAGGGTCACACCACTGATGAGGATGTACTAAACAAACCTAAGATGCTGTTAAACCTTTAATCAGTCAGAAGTTTTAATTGATTAATATGTGAATGCATTCTCCATTTACACACACAGAGCAGTGAGATCTCATTCTACCGCTGTAGATATTGGAGAAGACACAGGCATAACATATCGTCAAAAAGCTTGGCATCAATGCCACCCACATCTGCACAATGGGTATAATTTTAAAATTAAGAAGCTGTCTGGCTGCCCCTGTGGCTTAGAAGAATATTTGAAAATCCCACAGCATGCACGTAAAAGAGGAGGATGGACACTTGTCCTGAAGACCGACACTTGTCGCTGAATTGATACAACCAAATAAATTCAGCTCAATTGGCCACAGGAGCCTGCTATTTAAAAAAGAATGCTTGCCACTCAATGGAATGGAAACACTTCAGAAATGACTTTTTATGAGACTTGACAGTGTGACGTATTTACACAAAACATTCCTTCTTGGCTGACTGCCCCCAAGTTTTCATGGCTTTGCTATGTGATTGCATTCTTGATTAGATGTACTGGCAATTCAGCTTCAGGCTATTGAGCTATTGGTTGTTGCTGTCAAATTGACATTGATTCCTCATTAAATGTTCTGAATGAATGATCTATATTATGATGTGTTGCTGCCAGCACTCAGGCCACATGTATGGCATCAGATCATTACATCTTGTTGTGCACAGCATCAATTATCTTATTGCTGGAAATCTTGGAAAAATTTCTGATCTTACCCTGAGCCTTTACGCTGTACAACGATGGGTCAATTATTGGTACATTCTGTGGCACTGGCTGTATTGTCGGAGTATTCTGCAATACTGCAAAGAGAGAAAAGGATAATTATTGGGAAAAGAACAAGTGAGATCGACACAGCAGCAGAAAGCAAGGATTTCATTATGAGGAGTGGCCTAGCAGAAATTTCTGCCTTACATGTCGGTATGTTCTGAAGTGGATCCTTATTACTCTTTAAATGGGATTGAAGTCTCTATTTTAATTAAATTCTACCATCAATGCAACTTCAAAGTCGCAATTTAGTCAGCTCATATTACCAATATCTATGCATGTCACTCTACCTTTAAAAGATAATGAAACCCCAGCAATAGTGATTGCTGGGTGCACAAAACATGAATTCCAATCTGACATGATTTCCTAAAATCTGATATTACACTGATAATAAAAAAAAGACACAGATCTTCATAGTCATTGTTTATCACATCCAAAATAATACCTCTTTCTCCAAATACAGGAGGCTCATTAACATTTTTGTTCTGCATTATTAAATCTCAAAGCAAGATGTAACATGGAGCAATGCAGTATGACATACGTTCTTTAATCGCAGCCTTAGTAGATGTGACAATGATCAGGAAAGTGTGACTTTCAGTTCTCTTTTGTGTTTCTCTTTCTAAAATAAGCCTAGTAACCTTTGATTTATTCCTCTGATCCTTACAGTAAGAAGTTATTTGTAGAATAAGTCCAGGCTGTGAGGCTTGTGTTTACAACCACAGATGCAGTGTCCATAACAGCACATGTTTTAATCCAGGAAGTGGTTAATGCTTGTTTGCTTAGACTTTAGATTTTTCCTAGTTATTTCTCCACTTCCAATCCAAAACGATCCACTAATGGCGGTTAATCTGGCTCTAGCAAAATTGCCAAAAAGAGTCTGGCTTGTCAGTTTGGCTTCCTTTCTCATTGGGAGACTAGTAACTGAGCGAGTGAGGGAACATGGCTTGATTATCTACCTGACAACTTCATGAGCCACTGAGTCATGAAACCAAGGACATAGCATGATTTAGAAGAGTGTATAACTTGTGGTCAGTTGGCAAAGTTAGCTTGTAACACAGTCATGCAAACAGAAAGCTTTAGATCCTGTTTTCATCCAGGTTAGGTTAAAGAGCTGGGTCAGTAGGTTGAAGCTACGCTGAGATAAGCAAAGAGATAATGGGCCTGGGCACCGACGTGATCACTGTAAGTGGAAAATACCCAACTTTGGAAGCAGGGTAAAGAAAAGACTGGTCTCAGTCACATTGTGTACACTTCAAAGGCAGCCCGCATGATTGTCTAACGACAAAGTACACTCATATAGTGCCTTCAACATAGCAAAATATTCCATAGAAAAATGTAAAAGGAGCATGATCAAAATGCTTTTGACACAGCTATGAGAAGATATTGGTAGTAGGTTTTAAGGAGGGTTTTAAAGGGTGAGAGAGATGCAGAGAGGTTTAGGGAGAAAGTTCCAAAGTTTGGAGTCTAAGCAGCTGAAGGCATGGGTGCCAATGGTGGAATTAAACTGTACATTAAACTAGAATTAGAGCACTGCAGAGAAGTTATAGGTTTGTAGGGCAGAAGGGGTTACTGAAAATACAAAAGTTACCGTGTTCGGAACCACAAGCCAATTTAGGTTAATGAGTTCAGCAGGGATGACTGAACAGGACTTATGCAAGTTAGGATAACAAAAGCAGAGTTGTAGACGAACAATATACACTTGCAGAACAGAAGTTAAGTGGGGGCAAGAAAAAACTAAGTTCAGAATTCAGTTACTTTTGCTCAGGCGTACCTGGGATACAGTCAGTTAGTCAATGCCGTGCCAAGCCAAAGGATATGAGACGATATTATATTTGCAGGCTCTAAATCATTCTTTCTCTAAAATCTTGTTCACAAAAGTGGAAGTGGTGAGAAGACAAATGTCTGCTTTCCATTTTATGGCTTTTAGTTTACTTTTGTGTTTCATTTCTTCTTTTAAAATAAATCAAGTAACATAACAGTTTATAGACAAGAGCAACTGCAGAAAGGTGAGGGTTTGTACAGTCAAAGCAGGTGCTAGGGACAATAGAAGAAGGTGGAGAACTCAAACTGAGATGTAAAGGGCACAACCAGATGCTTCTGAAGACTAAACAAGCTGGACCAGCACAGGTTTACCATAGCACTTGTGCAATATAGTTCTAACTAGCTTTGTTGCTTGGAAAAGAGCGCAGAAGTTCCAAGGAAATTTGAAAATTCAGTTCAATGATGTACCAGGTGTGACTTGAAAAGTCATTCTCTCAATTACACAAGGCTGCTGCATCCTAGATAAACTGTACTTAGACGAACTGATGGAATCATCACAGATGCAAGGCGCAGCCAGTTCCAGCTGCTCTGCTTGGGCATTCTGTATTACTCAATGTGATCTTCCATGGTGGAATAAAATTGTTTCAATCTTCGCACTGAAAAGAATGCCAGCTCGGAATAGCAATTTCCTCCCTGAAATTGATCCAACTGGCACACATCATGTAGCCAAGATATTATCCTTGGGATTTACTTCAATATCCCAAATGGAAAGCTGCTCAGAAGCCAGAAAAAATGATGGCCAAATCAGCTAGTAATCGCTATTGATTTTTATTAGGACAAGGAGCAGAGCAAGTCAATGATGAAACTTAGGAAGCACTACCTCCAATGGCAAATGGAGAATCAACTGTGGGGTCAGCCCGCTAGAATCAATGCTATCAATGCTGACGGTAACAATGCAATGTCTTGTGAGAAAAAGGGTGCAAATGAGAAATACTGCATACCACCTGCTCAGTAGGTGTTCAAGGAATAGCTGAAAAGAAACAGTCGTAAACACTAAAAGATTTTTGTCTTGTTTTCAAAGAATATTTTTATCTGGGAGTCTCCATCCATGCTTTGAACACAGGAAAACTCACACCTAACCAGACCATTGCCAAGGGTTCCTACAATTTTACAAACTATCACCTCTCCCAAAGGCTGGGGCCCACATAAGACAGGGCAGAGCTTTATCCATACAATTAGCCAACAGAATGCAGTGCTGGCCATTTCCAAACATCATATTGAGACTGGGAATTAAATAAGTTTCATTACTTAATTAGCAATCCACCAAGAGAGTCCTGCCAATCCAGTTTAAATTGTCATGCAATTGTTGCAGCTAATTTAACAGACAACTGAGATTAATTGTAACTATGATGGAAAATTGTTTGAGGATAATTCCTTTGTGCATTTTTATAAAGATTTATTCTGGCAAGGAAAAGAAATTGAACTAAAGAATAAAAAGAGCCTGGTGTTGGAGTTTACAGAAGACTGATTAAAACAGAAAACAAATTTGGAAGGATAAAATCACTTATAGTTTGGGTATGGTGCCGATCTTGGTCAAAAGCACTATTCTAGAAACTTGAGGAGTACAGTGGTATACAATAGGAATGGAACAGCCTTGGAGTCCTCAAAGTTGACTGAATCAACTAAATTAACTCAACCCTTTGAAGTTTCATTGCATCAGGTCAAACCTGGACAAGGAAACCTCCTGCTAATTATCACTTACGGCCTTCCCTCGGCCAATGAAACAGTACTTTTCCATATTGAACAGTATTTGGAAAGAACAAAGAACAATACAGCACAGGAACAGGCCCTTTGGCCCTCCAGCCTGCACTGACACATTTTGTCTTTCCATACTGAAATGTTTTCACTTACAGGATCCGTATCCCTGTATTCCCTTCCTATTCATGTATTCGTCCAGGTGCTTCTTGAATACCGCTATTGTGTCTGCTTCAACCACCTCCTCCGGCAGTGCATTCCAGGCACTCACCACCCTTCGTGTGAAAAACTTCCCTTGCACATCTCTTTTAAACATCACCCCACCCCCGCACCTTCAACCCGTGACCCCTAGTAATTGACTCCTCCATACTGGGAAAGTGCCTGAATTATTCCACTAGAGCATAAACTGTGAAAAGGGCACAGAATGTATTCTAGCTGGGGACTTCGATGCCTCTTGAAGAGACAGCGCATTAGCAGCCCACTACAACCAAACTGAAGGACAGTGGGAATGTCAATAAGAGGGAAAATGTACTTGAACTGGCCTCACAAATCCACTTACTGCAGATATATCTATTCATGAGTATTGGTGGGGGTAACTACAACACATTCCTTGTGGAGACAAAAGACAAAACCCTATCTTCACGGAGGATGCCTTGTTGAACAATGCTAACGTTGTGCTAAATGAAATAGACTCAGACCAGGTATAGGATGCATGACACATTATGTGCCTAAAAACAGCAGCAGACCGTATTACAATTGTGCTACGTCCAGTCTTGAATAGCGGTGGACAACTGACAGAAGAAGGTGCCACAAATATCTCGATCTTCAAGGACAGGGGAGTCCAAAGCATTTGCAACCATTTCAGGCAGAAGTGCCAAGTGGATAAGGTACCTCAGTCTGCTCCTGAGGATCCCACCACCACTGTTGCTAGTTTTCAGATAATTCAATTCACTCGAATGTGATAAAGAAAAATGCTACAAACACCAGGTACAACGAAGACTTTGCCTGACACCATTCCAGCAATTATACTAAAGACTTGTACAACAGAACTTGACAGGCCCCTAGCCAAGCTGCTCCAGTTGAGCTACAACACAGGCATTAACCCAGTAATGTGGAAAATTACTCAGGGATGTCCTCAAAATAGGACAAATCCAATCCTTCCAATTAGAAGCCCATCAGTCTATTGTTGATCATGAGTAAAATGATGGAATTGTCATATTCAGTGCTAGTGAATGGCACTTAGTCAGCAATAGCCTGCTCATGAATGCATGGGTTTCACCAGGGCCACTCAGTTCGATATTTCATTACAGCCTTAGTCCAAACATGGAAGCAAAAGAACGGAACTTGACAGGACAGGCGAGAGTAACTGCTTTTCACATTAAGGCAACATTTGATGCAGTGTGGTATCAAGGCGCCTGAGCCAAAATTCAGTCAATGGGAATCAGGGAGAAAATGCTTCAGTGGTTGTACTCATACCTGGTACAAAGAAAGATTGTTATGGTTGAAGGTGAATCATTTC